TCCAAGAAGAAAGACTCTATTTACTTCTACTAGGCATCATCAAGCACAAAATTCCAAAGTAACCATCCATTTACATTCTATTTTTAGTCGAATTATTAAAACCTCTTTGAATCTCTACATACCACTACAATTTGATTAAGCCTCTTAGTGTTCTTATGATTACAAGTAATGTAAATAAATGAAGCCTGACAAATAGTGAGTATCCTGTACGTGACAGCTACTACTAATGCCCCACTTTCACAAACAATGAAATGTTCTAAAGCAAACACGTAAAAAGTATACTTAAGAATCCAGATCTTGGATTCCCATGTTGCTACTTCTACTCATTTAACCTCCTTTACTCTTTGCCTATTTTCCTTGGAAGCCCATATATCGCAACCACTGAGTGGCCTATAACTACTTTGTTTGGATGATTTTACTTGGTAGTAACTCAGTCTAAAATAAACAACTACTACATGGTGGTCTTATTTTCATCAGACTGTAATAGCAGAGATGCCAGTCACTGATTCACAACTCATTCATTCTTCTTAAGATAGTGTCCAAACTTCAGCCTTTGAAAGAAAGCTCTTGAGTGTTCCATGCCACAACAAACCTATACTAGGTTGATCAGCCTCTTTAAAAAAAAAAAAAAAAAATGGAATCAGATCACAAAACTGAAAGAGCATGGAAAAAAAAAGGACTGACTCAGCATTAAGGCAAGGCAAGATGACATCATAAAGAAAGAAAACTGAATAAGTAGACTGGCAAGACTGTGGAGAAAAGCAAAGTACCCAAGAGAAACAAACAGATATAGATGGAACTGTAATGGTTACCGTGTGGCCTGCATCATTTCATATTTGTGGTGTTGTATCCCTTCAATAAATCCCACTTTCACTTCAGCTGTTCTGTTTTTGTTTCCACAGTTAAATGAGAATTTGAGAAAGACTATCAATCTCATCAGTATTAGTCCTAAAAGAGCATCCATATTCTGGCAGAAATATCACACTAGCAATTTTGTTATCAAAGAAAAGATGTTGTCTCCTTGTTATAGAAGCTGTTGTCAAAAACAGGTGCCTAGAGTAAACAGGTAGGTGAGAGAAGGAGGCTGGCACCTTTAGGTTTTATTCTTCTTCTTTAAACATGTTTATTTTCATATTAACTGGATAAAATTTTTCCTTCTTCAAAAACACATACATTTGCTCTCTCCCATTTTTTTTGGATTACCTTTTATTTTCTGCGTTCCACAAAGATGAGAGTATGTCTTAGTCCATTTCTCTTACTATATCACAATACCTGAGACTTAGTAATTTATAAAGAACAGAGATTTATTTAGCTCAAGGATTGGAGACTGGGAGTCCAAAAGCATAGTGCCAGTATCTGGTAAGTGCCTTCATGTTCATTTATAACACAACAGCATCACATGGCTAGGCAGAATAAATATGCTGCATAAGCCTGGATTTATCTTTCTCTTCTTATAAAGCCACTAAAGCCATCATGGGTACCCCGTCCTCACAACCTCATCTAAACCTCATTACCTCCCAAAGGCTCCACCCCTATTATATCATTAAATATGAATTTGGGGATTAAGTTTCCAAAACAAATCTGGAAGGGCACATTCAAATCATAGCAGGATACATGAAAAGAAAGACTAGAGGTGATGGTACATACCAAGGGACATTCAGCCTTGCTGACTGAAAGATTATAGAGAAGAGTGGTAATGGTAAAGTAGGAAGACATTTTCTACAAAAAACAAAAACAAACAAACAAAATCATTACTGAGTCTCCGGCAACTATCACCATTATATGGTCTAACCTGAAATTTACATGAGAAGGCAACAATCTAGATTTTTATGTAAAGTCTCCTAGTTGTAAAATGTTAATAAATTAATTTTCTTCTACAATAAAGTGGGTCAGTTCACTGGCTGTTGAATTACAATTCTATTGTAGACTTTAGCATCATTTAAAACTTCCTATATTTCTAGCTTCCCTAAATTATGTTTAACATCTATAATATGCAAAGCCTTTGACTATGTATTAGGCAAATCACTATCAAAGTTGAACCTCATGTATTTTTCTAGTCACATGATTTAAAATTGAATGTTGTTCCTCAGCAACAACTTAAAACAAGTCTTAATTAACATTAAATGCCAAATCACACTACCTACTCTAACAGGACAGCAACACAAACTCTTCATAGTTCACTACCTAGAGTAGGTTGAAAAACTACTTGCATAAGCTGTCAGTTCCTTAAATATCACACCGTGCCCTTCTTCCACAATATACAACTTCCTTATCATCCTGAACTTAACCCTCAGAACTCACTGCACACTACTGAAATCATGTATTTATTGTTTATCTCTCCAAGCAGACTATAAATACCTTAAGAATAAGGTCTAAATCCTTGGGACTGTATATCTGGAGCTAAATATAAAAAAAATGGACCATGTGGTAGAACATTGAAAGTATTGTTTAGTAGACCACCTTTTATCCAAGGAGGCTACCATGTACCAGGCACCTAACAGATGCTCATTCCTTTACTCAAATAATATTAGTGAAGTGGTGAATAACATAGATTCATCCTTCTCAATAAACATTTCAGTTAAAAGAAAGAAATAAATGAGGGATTTGCTAGACATAAATAAATGTATATATGTCCTCTAGTTCACTAACATTAAAGATGTACAGCTTAATGCAATTAATTTAGTATTTTTATCCAACCAAATAAGGATAATACCAAATTTACTAGGTTGTTATGAAAAGTGAGTAAAAGGCAGTCATAATTCATAAAAATGCTGCCAAAAAAGCATCTTTTAGGGAAACCAAAACTCTAAAAATACTTCCAAATGACAAACTTTTAAATCTTAGACGTGCGAAAGAGGAAACAATTCAATAATTTCTGCTTAATTTATACAGTTTACAGTTATCCAAATAGTTGTTTAGCTTTATAAACCTTAGGGTTTTGTTTTGTTTTGAATCAGACTCTAAAAAAACCTGTCGGTATATAAAGAAAAACACCATTGCAAATTCATGTTTGCTATGCAAGTATTCATCACGGCAAAACAAAAACTTGTAAATGCTAATATATTAGGAAATATATTTTGGCTCAGTGTTTGGGAAAAAAAAAGTGTGCAAATTTTCCAAATAACAGAACAATCTAACAACACAACTTCAAATGTAGCATAAAACTCCCCTCCTCAGAATTAAGGTTGCTAACCAACTGACTTGAAAATGAAGAGATTATGGTGGCTTATCCAGGTAGGCCCTGGAAGAAGGAAAGCAGGAGGGAGTGGCAAGAGAGATGTAATGTGAAAAATAATGGACCAGCCATTGGTGACTTTGAAGATGGAGGAGAGCCATGAGTCAAAGAATCTGAGAGGCCTTAAGAAGCTGAAAAAATTAAGGAAACAATTCTCTCCCGGAGCCTCCAGAAAAGAATAAAGACTCTGCCTGATGTTAGCTTACTGAGATCCATTTTGCATTCTGACCTCCCAAACTATCAGATAATGATTTGTCTGTGGCAGCAGCAACAACAGGAAATTAATTCAGTTTGCCTTGGAATGTAGTACTCTTTCCCTTACAGATGATGTTAGACAACTCTGGTGTTGTTCATGGTGCACCTCTGTTGGGTGGAGGTAGGGGTAGGGGTAGGAGAGTGGTGAGTAGGTAAAACAGTGAAGATACATCAGATAAACACTGCCTAAGTGAAATTGTGAAAGCAGAAGGAATTAAATTGGTTCTAAGGAAAACGTCTAAAACTGCATGCACATTCACGTAAGTTCTTTTCTTTGTAGTCTGGAGCATTCAAAGATTTTAAAAAGGATTTTTTATAAGCAAGAGGTAAGCACCTTTCTAGATTATTTCCAACACGTGGCTTTTAACATTCCATGATTTTCTAAGGCAGTAAGTCTCAATCTGTAGACCATCTAAAACCCAAACAAAGCATTAAAATTCACTTAAGGTTGTTAGTAAAATGCAGAGTCCCAAACTCCACCTGAAACAGAATCTCTGAGAGCTGTAGGAAAGCTCAATTCTTTTAACAAACTGAGAGATGGGGACAGAATAATATACACAATAAAAGAATCACTGCTCTAAGGAATGTTGTACAAAACATTAGAGATTGAAATAAATTGTTTCCATCACCCAATCTTTAAGAACCTCAGTCATTTTGCTGATTATTGTAAGTCATTATTTTTTCTGAACCTCAGGCAGCCGAGGTAGACAATTCCACCTAATTTTTTTAGATGAAAATTCATTCTGTGGAGTGCCAAGAATGATGACTAGTAGGTTATACTATCAAACTAAAAAAACGTTAAGTTTTATCTTCCAATACTTCACTCCAAACCCCTATTCCAGACTCCTGGTTTAAGAAAGAATAATGCCTGGCATGCATTTTACATACTGTCCTGCTAAATACTGGAAGAATCATGTTTTTGTGCCAATATCATTACTAGTCAATTTTCTATAATCCACTTAGTTTCCCGTCCTAAATTTTCACTTTTCAAGCGAATGTTTTACTTGAAACATTCTCCTAATCATCCGAAGTTAAATCTTATAAATTACGTATCATCAGGTGGGGCTATAAGACAGGCAGCCAAGACCTCAAATCTCCTAAAAGGGACAGGCCCTGAGAATGAATAGAAGAACAGCTCGCAGAGGCCTTAAAATCTAAGCAACCTTACGCAGTTTTTCTCGGTGAGAGATTCTTGACAACAGTAAAGGAATCTGAGATGTGAATAGGAAGGGGTCCTAGAGAAGGACGTTTAAAGCAAACCTCCCTCGGTGCCTCACAAACAGACCACATTCCGAAGCAAGGTCATAGAGAAGCCATACCAGCCCGGGTGCGGGAGTCCAGCTCTCTCAGCTCCCAAGACATCCCTTTGCCGCACGCATTAGACCCAGCCAGCAGACCCCTCTCAGAAGGGGATAAGGCACCTTCATACCCAGACCGAGGCCTTGAAGCAAGAATGCATTCAGGCCCATTGCTCAGCTCCAGAGAAAATGAGCGAGCCTCGGCCACTCACCCCGCAGCCAGTGAGTGCTGTGAAACCATCTCCAGCTAGCTCCACGGCCGACAGACCACCCGGCAGCGGCCCTGGCCACCCCCATGCTTCGCCGGCCGCCGAGGCCAAGGAGGTAACGAAGAAGCGGAGGGTCACAGCCCAGCTTCCAGGAGGCCGCCATCTTCCCGGCTTTTCCCCCGGCTGCCCGCAGCACAGCCTGATCACCAGCCTCAGGGCCCTCCCAGGCCCCGCCTTCTCCCGCTGGTCACGCCCCCTCGACGCCCGCCTAGCGAGTCGATCTCGCTGGCTGGCCCTCTTAGCCCCGCCTCCATCCTCGTTGGCCACGCCTCCCGGCCGGGCAGCAACACTAAAGCCTCTCCCAACCAGCGAGGCCCTCCCAGATCCCGCCCCCCTACTTGTACGCTCCGCCCCCGAGATGCCCCTGTCGCCGCCTGATTGCACTGTGGCCTGGCCGCGGTAGGCCGGGCGGAGCGCTGGGTGCAGAACCGTGTGGAGGCTGGAAATCGTGGGTGCCCCTCGTCCGGACCATGTCTGGCTGCTACGGTCCGAAGGGAGACTGCTGCTCACGGCAATGCGTCGCGCAGGTAGGGGCGGGGCCGCCGGCGCCGCTCTTTCTAGGCGGCAGGGCGCTGGCGCGGGGCCGCGAGCCGCAGGGTCGTGGGCGGGGCTTCCGCGGGTGCGAGCGCGGCCCCGCGTCCTGGCTGCGCGCTTCACTGCGGGAGCTGGGCCCCAGACTGAAAAAGGAAGAGTGAGTGAGGAGTGCGTTTAGGTCGCTGTCGCATGCCTGTCGGGATGACAGACCGAAGGAGTCTTGAGGCCCTGGAGTGGAACTGGAGCGAGAGCAGAGCTCCTCGAGCTTCTTTTCTGCGCCTGGCGACCAGCTCCACGCTGCTGAACTGCAGCTGGGCCTCCGAAGCCTGCACCCTTTAGTAGAGTTGCTCCTTGCCTGACTGTTTAGATGAATAACGGGGTGATTCTGACTAACGATTCTTCCTTGAGCAGAATTCAGGCTGCAGGTTTATCATTCACTTATACACAACCAACAATCTTACTGGAAGCCTTAATGAACGCCTCTGAGTGTCCAGAGAGTGGTGAATATGACAGATGGCCCGGAGTCCAGAGGAGAACTAGGTCAATTAACAAATTCAGCACAATGCCTAAGAGGCAGGAAAAGCCCCCTAAGCTTAGTTCTCTGATCAAAGGGCTGAAGGTCTCACTGGGAAGATTTTATTGCTAAGCATTTGTAAACCGTTATGTTGTTTTGAGTAAGTGACTTCTCCCAAATTAGCAAACACGACAGGTTAGAATGCTGGATAGACATGATTGTATGAGGAAGATGATGATCTTGGATACAGGACAGATCACTGGATATCATTTTGAGACAGATGGGTTTGGAGAATAAGGAAAGTGAAAGCAGTCCATTAGAAGAAACATTGCTAAGACATTTTGGCACATGTGTACATGCCCCCAGTAATTAGATCTTTGGCAGTCTCTAAGAGAGCAGCATGCCTAAGCTTCAAAGAGCCTAAAACAAGAAAACTAAGAATAAACTAAGATTCTCAAACCAAAAATGGCCACAGGACAACCTGTAGAACAGGCATCTTTTATTTGCTTCACTCTGTGGTCATGAAAAATGTGAGCTACTTTTTCAGAGTCCAGAACAATCTTGGCCTCTATTGAAATTTAAGAGCATTTGGTATGACTGGACCCTTATTTCTTCATGGGGTCTGGATTGAACTGACAAATAGCTACTAATTTAACCCAAGGCATGTGCTTCCACTCCTCAAACTAGATTTGCATGTACATTTAAATACATTAACCCCACTAAACATTTTTGTTTGCCTTGTGTTACAAAAATAAATGAGAACAGCAATAAGAAAAGTTTTGAGGCATAAAATTTCAATGCAGTTTTAGAGGGTGCAACTAAAAGAGTTTATCCTTAAGGAAGAGGAGTGTTCAATTGTGATTGTTTCAGCAAATATTGAATGAGGACCTACTGTGTGCCAGACACTGTGAATTTAACATAATGCAAGTTACATCTAATTCCTTCCCCCATAGAGAGTGCCTTGTAGCGGGAGAAACAGTAAAGAGACAGTATGACAATATAAGAGCACCATTATGGGAAAGTTCAGGGTGCAGTAGGGTTTGAAAATGCCTCTGGAGGAAATAAAGGTATCAAATGAAGCCTAAAGGATCAGGAAGACCACAGTAAGAAATGAAGCTGGGTTTTCTGATTTCAGGCTTACCCTGGAGATACTTCAGGTTACATCACAATAAAGTCACACAAAAGCTGTAGTTTCCTAGTGCATATAAAAGTTATGTTTACACTATAGTCTATTAAGTGTACAATAGCATTATGTCTAGAAAATAAACATAATTTTAAAATATTTATGGCTAAAAAATGGTTATGATGATCTGAACTATTGGAAATAATGATACTACTGATAGGTTTACAAAGCTCAGGGTTGCCACAAGCCCTCAATTCATAAAAAATGCAGTATCCAAAGTACAATGACATAAAGCACAGTAAAGGTAAGCCTGTAGAAAGAGTAGCAAGCAGAGTCTTAGAAAAAAGGGCATTGTCTGTTCTCATATCAAAAGAATCTTGGTGTTATGGGAACAAAGTAGGGGACAGGGACTTGGGAAAATGATGAAGCTAAAAAGATGAATGCTAGGACCCAAACTAGAGGGCTCTTTAAGCCATCTTAGGAATACAGATTTTTATTTTAAGGGCAATGAGATAATAAGAAAAATGACTGAAGAAAGTGTATGGGGTGACAGGCTTGGTTGTAGCTCAGTGGTTGAGCGCTTGTCTTGCATGGGTAAGGCACTGGGTTTGATCCTCAACACCACATAAAAAAATAAATAAATAAAACAAAGATATTTTTAAAAAAGAAAGAAAATGTATGGGGTGCTGACTGGATTGGAATCTGGAGGCTTAGATACAAACCAGGAAGCTGTAGCAGGAACCCAGGCAAGAAATGGCAGTGCCCTCAGTGAGGGATTTAGGTGGTAAAGTCTAGAGGACGTGATGTTGATTCGATGGGGATGGTGAAAAAAGGAGCCAGGAATGACTTAGGTTTCTGATGGAGTAATTGGGACCTGGTGGACTCTCAGAAAGAGCACTGGAGGAAGAAACAGTTGATGATAAGCCTGTCATAGACATAACAAATTTGAGGTTCCTGGTTGGAGAGAGATATTAAAAGCTGCATATTTGTGGCTCTCGAGCTCAAGAAAGAGAGCTGGATTGGAGATGAAGTTTTGGAAAACTTGGTCACCAAAGCCTTCCCTCTTGTATTTATTGTTCTTTATTTGATGAACACCCTCTCCCTAAACCCTATTACATTAATTGCCTTCCTCTGTGGGCTTTTCAATAATATTATTTTATCATGCTTGCCTGTAACTTTTAAGTGATTTGTTTCATGGACTTTCTTCTAGTATTGCAAAGATTTCTCAGGCACTGATGTATTATTTTCAGGATAGATTCAGCTTATACCAGTAATGTCTAGGCTGATTTTACAGTCCAAAAATTCAATCCCAAATGACCTCTGATACTTGGACTAAATTTTTCTAGTATCAAAAAGTCAAGGGGGTTGGGCTGGGGTTGTAACTCAGTGGTAGAGTATTCGTTTGCCTGAGTTAGATCCTCACCACATAAAAATAAATTTTAAAAAATCCTGTGTCCATCTACGACTAAAAAATAAAAATTAAAAAAAAAAGTCAAGGGGTATTTCTCTAAGAGAGAAAGTGTTTACTTAGAAACTGTGTATTGACAAAGTCCAGATTCTAAAAGTACTAACATGAATAAGTCACTATTCTCTGTTCTTGGGAAACTAAGGCAGTTATAAATGCATACCAGTAACTAATATACTATATAACAGAATTGGGCAGTGGAAGGAAGAGGAGAAGACTAAATTCTTAAGGAATTTTTGCAAATGCAGAAAGAGGAAAGATAATTGGAAACAGCAATTCAAGGAGGACTTTATGGAGAATTTTGGATGTGCTCATGGTTCTAGAGGGACACCAAAAAGAAGTTCCTTAGGGTGACCATATGCCCTATTTTAAGAGTTTACAATACATAACTCTGACTTTTTTTTTGCTGGGGGAAAAAAATCTGTTTTTTTTTGTTTGTTTGTTTGTTTTGTTTTGTTTTTTAGGGAAACCAGAAACTGGGATTTTGTATAGAAATCAATAATTTTCAAAATTTTAAAATGTCAACTCAGATTCTAAGTATTGTACAGACCAAATTAATTACTTCCTGGAAGTCTGATGCAATCCGCAAGTTATCAATTTGTGACTTCTATAATATATTCTTGAATGTAAGATATATGATCTTAATTCATCCAGTATTTATTAAGCCAAGCACTGCAGTAGGAATAACTTAGAAAGAGCATGTTGCCTACCCTTTAGTGAGCTGCGCAGAGTTGGCGAGAAAAAACAGGTAGGCACTGTTTTTACTCTTTTTGGAGGGGGAGTTACCAGGGATTGAACTCAGGGGCACTTGACCACTGAGCCACATCCCCAGCCCTATTTTGTATTTTATTTAGAGACAGAGTCTCACTGAGTTGCTTAGCAGCCTCACTTTTGCTGACACTGGCTTTGAACTCACGATCCTCCTGTCTCAGCCTCCCCAGCTGCTGGGATTGCAGTCGTGCGTCACCCTGGTTTGTTTTTACTTTTTTTGTTGTTGTTTGTTTATGAGTCATAGTGTTTCCTAGCAAATATTTATTCTTTGATATTTCTACAAAACAAGGCTATCCAACTCCCTGCCCTTTGTTTTCCTGGAACTCAACAGTTCCGTGGAAGCAACCCAGTCTCATGATCATAAACTCCCTGCCCAACCACTACCCCTTCACCTCACAGATTTTGTGGGTGAAGGAATTTTTCGTTCTGTGGTCCCTTCTGTGTGCCCTCTATCAGAGGATCCTTCACACACTATCATAAATAGGTACCTTTATGGAAGCCCCCCCCCCCGCCCCACCAGGTCTGCTGAGAATGTTCCCAGGGAAGGGAAGGAATCACTCATTGTACGAGTTGATGTCTCTACAAATATCACGGGGTCTTACCACAGCTAGCCCACCTTCTTTGTTCCTTCACTAGCCCCTGAACGTTCCTGAGGAATATTCCTCAACTGTGCTGTGTGGGCTCACTTCAGACTCCTGGTTTCAACCTCATACTCCAGCAATGCTCCTGTGTCCTACAGTAGTGCTCACTCCCAAGTACCCTCTCCCTAGAGGACTGTTTTATGCCTTTATTCTCTTGTTATGCCTCTCAGACCATCCCCACACTCTCAGCTGATGACTCCATTAATACTTAAGAAAACAGAAGTCACTAGATGTGAACTTCCTCACCTCCCCACCATAAAACCTACAGATATGCCTGAAAATGAACCCAGCTTCCTTTCATTTCATAAAATGGAAGCAGCCCAGTTCTTCCACCAGTCTCAGGTCTCCAGGCCTTTCACCTTCTGAAGTTATTTCTCTCCCTCTCCCTGTCTTACCATCAATCATTTCCTCCCTGGGAGGACTGTGCTCATCGGCAGGGCTTTCAGATCCCTACATGATCCGGTCCCTGCGGTCATTTT